AATTCTCATATAATAAACAAATCAATGTACAATTTAACAATTGAAATTTCTTTTTTTTGTTCATTGTCACTGTATCCACTTTTAGAAAAATATTATCATATTTAACTTTAAGGTTTCATCTTATAAATACAAAGGAAATTCATGAAATAACACAAAATGGTATGTAAATATCTGTTCTGTAACAACAAAAAATCTGTTTTCCAAAATCTGGTTATTTTCTTTTATTACAGGCTTTAAATGTTGTGTATTTATTTATTTTTTGCATAACTGAAAAATGCAGTGACAGTCTGTAACTACAGATTGTTCTCGTGCAAATTAATTTATTTGCATAAGTTGGATAATTTAAAGTGTGAAGTCCTGGATTTATTCTGCATCAGAACAGATAGTTGTAAATATTATTTTGAAGCACGTTTATCAAAAGACAGACTTTATTTTAAAAAAATAAAATAAAATTGGCTGCACTAATAGCCAACGTAACAAGCAGTAAAAATCGCAGGATGCTCAGCAGAATGACCTTATTGACTTTTACCTTTTCTCTGTGGTCCAGATAAATACTGTCATGCTGCACAAGCCATTAGCAGCAGAAGCTCTATTTACATGAAAACAAGACTTTGTTTGTTGCCAAAAGCAAGATGGCTATCTTATTGGTGCTTCAATTTTCACACGGTCCCTGCTGTCTGATTAAGAACAGGAGAAGTTCTTGAGGCCAAAATTGGTCTTTTTTTGTTTGTTTGTTTGTTTTTGTGTCTGGTGTGTGACTAATTCATTGTTACACAACAAGAAGCTCACGGTGAGATACAAAGTATTGACAAGTGTAATGGTCTGCGCAGCCATGTCGGTGTATGACAAGTACACAGATAAGGTGGAAAATCACCACTGGGGTGCTTTAGTGGTATTTTCCTTAAGTTGATGGATTTGTTATGGGGCTGGGAAATCATCTGAGGAGGGGCGGGGTGTGTGACATCAATCAAGCAGCTTTTAAATTCACCACTAATGTCCGTGCTGTCAGGAGGAGAGCCTGATGTACAACCTTCCCTCTCAGAGAACACTCTTCACTGTATAACACGACTCTTCCTACGTCTACATTCCATATTTTTACCTCTACATGTTAATTAACAGCCCACATTTGAGCTGATGGAGATCCGTCTTGCAGGCCACAGTCAAGCGGGAGCAAAATTGCCATTAAAAGTTTCTTTTGTGAATCCACTACCTTTAAAACACATTCAGCAAATTTGTCAGAATACAGTCACCCATTACCGATTTTTAAAGTTGTAGGTCTTGTTGCACTCACAGCTCTCTTCTTAATTGACTCCACCATGGAGTAAATGAGAAGAAAATGAAAAGATAAATTACTCTAATGGAAGGAAATGAAGTGTGAAAAGAGACATTCCTCCCAGTATTTTCTAGGATGCAGAGCATGGGTAAATTGAAATACAACAAGGATCCGGCTTCTGTATAAAGACAGATTCTGCCGTGATTACAGAAGATGATGCAATTTTAATGCCAGGCAGTTGAGCAACAACACACATACTCATTTATTACTGAGGTCTTGGGTAGGGGGGGAAAAAAAAAACCCTATAAAAACTCCAAAATGCAAAAAAGAAATCAAAATAAGAATAGCTGAGGTATACAGAATTCAAATGGATTCAGCAACCAGAATTTAAAACCCATTAAAATACATTCAACCCTTTTGCCGCAGAGTTCAGATTTGTTTAAGGATGGCCCGTTTACCCCCCGCAGCGTAAGTGCTTTACAGTAGATTTCATGCAAATAGTATAGTGCTGGGTCGCTCTGTTTTCGTTCTGCTGCAGCTTAAAGGTCAGGGCTTATGAGCTTCCCAGCACCATTAAGACACAGTTTGTTTAAAGCCTGTCTGAAGGACAATGCTCAATGAACCAGAACATAGACAGACCGTAATAAATGAAAGGGAAAAGTTATGGTTCCGCTCAATGAAGTCAAAGGGCAGATGGAGGATAAGAGTGTGTCTCATTTCAATACGCTGTTATCCTCGAGACTCACAAACCAGACAGACAGTAAAAGGAAAATTCGATGCTTTGAAATTGGAATGTCTGCGCAGTCACGGATGCACTGTTTTGTTTTTAGACTGTAAATTACCGTGTGAAGAATGGAATTGTGACCTTTTTTTTTGTTTGTTTGCTTCTGAAAGGCTTGTTCCAGTGCTCACTTAATTTAATCTTCCTCATTTCCTTCCCTGCTACCTTCTTTGTTTTTTTTTTTCACTTGTTTATTTCCACTTTCATGCACCTGTCACACCCACAAGCAAAATTAAATGATCAATTCATTAAGTTGACTAATGGAATCATTTATCAGTTGCACCCCATTATTTCCTATAGTCTTTCCTTATCGCTTTATGCAAACAAGTGTAGAATCTGCACATGCTGCTGGAATTGCAGGAGAAGTCACGAACAGGAAATTTTCACCTTAGGTGTTGGAATGAATTCATGAGCGCAAACCTCCACTGAGAACCCCAGAAGGAGTCATGTAGAGCGATGTGAAGTCCTCGTATCTGAGCCCAGCGGAAGCTGCTTATTGATTTGCTTGTCTAGTGGCTCTCTGTAATAATAAGGAAATAAAGCCCTTGGATATTAGGAGATTGATGTCAATCAGCAGCCTGCTTCAAGTGTGGCTTGTCCCATCTTATTAGCGCTCTCTCCATGCACTGAGTGTTCACTGATGACTCCATTGATATGCAACTGAAGAGAGGAGGCTGTCTGTTGCCATCTTGAGGAGCATTCCCCCATGATTGCTCGCTCTGTCATCTTAGTAGACAGAGAGATTGTCATGGAGCCATGGAATATTAGGCTGAAGCACCTCCACTGTGCATATCACACATAATCAGGATGCCTGGACACCTTATAATCAGGTCTATAGGTTGAAGGACTGCAGACATGCTTTATAATTTGAATGTGATAGAAACCACACTCGCCTTTTCTGAGGGTTTTGTTGGAGGAAAATAAATGAGCAGCACGTTTGATACGTGGCATTGCAGTGTGGTGATCTCCAGTGAGAACGTGATTTTGTGGAGACAGAGTTGCTCCAACAGGGTATTTTATGGAGGTTTGTAGTGAGGCTACATCCATTTTAACATTTGTTTTTATATCTGGGGGAACTGTAATTTTTTGAGGGGATGTAGATATGCTATGTGTTTATTTTCATCACCAGTCAGTGCCTTAGGATCTCAGGACACACAACAGTTTTACAGCCTGGTTCGTTTTGACAGTTACATGCAATTAAGTCTGATTTTTAACATATTAATCATCAACAGCAGAGTTTGTGTCTTTATTGTCGGATACAAGGAGCGTACGGTTTCTGCAGGAGCATACAAACCTTTCCCACACTCCTAAAACTGTTTCCATCCTCTCCGGCCGAGACATTTCCTAAATTTGTTGCACCGAAGAAACATTTTACCAACTAAATTTCCCCTGGGACAATAAATGGTATTTTATTGTATTTGTGCCACTGCTCAGAATAAGATAACAGTAATCTCATTCTGTCATGGTAATTACCACCTTTAATTTATGAATTAGCACTAATTAACCAGCTACAGTGCTGTGTGATGTGATGCCGTTGCTCAAATAACCTCTCGAGCGCAAAGCACGGTTTCTACTTCTGGCTGTTGGATCTACAGCAGGTTTAAATAAGGTGCAGTGTAACAACAAGCTTTCACAAATGTTAACATCTGCCATCTCTTTGTGATTTATCACAAATCTTGTCAGACGGTCTCGTCACGTAGCGACTTCATGCGACGTGCTGGTGTGTCACAGGTTATGATAGCATGACACCCATTTTGTGAACCTGACAGAGCACATCAAGATCACTTTGTTCTGAACGTACACTGGTTGTGGCGGTGCATTACGGTACATCTATACCTGACTGGAGTCCTTCAAGCACAATAAATTTAAAGTGGCTGAATATAGGGTGTGATTTTCTATCTTTGTACAGAAACAGGTGAGAACAGAGCCTGTCTGTGACTTTATAGAGAATCAGCGTAAGTTGTAATTTTTGTCAGTGTGACGGTGACACAGGGCTGGATAACAAATGAACTCAACGTAATTTTAGCATTTTCATTACATTTTTAGAACCTTCTGATGTTGCACAAATAGTTGATTCCACTTGTGATAAAAAAATATATATACCGTAGTGACTCGATAATCTGACACTAAATGTAAAACCTTCTTTTATGTCGGATAGCAAGGCTGTCGACTTGTCAAGACGGAGGTCGAGATACAAGGAGGGCTTGATGTTGATGGGTAATTAGTTGTTAATTATTGTTCATAGTTGTTATAATAACTAGTAGGGCTGGTCTGAATAGCACTTACTGGTCTCTGGATAGTCAGGCCCAATTAATAATGAATATCCGAATGTCTGGAACACACAGGCAGGACTTGGCTGCTGATGCTAGTTTAGTTAGCGGTCACACTTCTGTTTCCACCATCAGTGGTGCCGCCGCCACCATCCATGTTTACGTCCGTAAACACTGAGCATGCTCGCTATGTGTGACGTCGTTGTGTCCTCTTCTGCACATGTGGGACACTTTTGGCTCGTATGAAGTTCACATAGCAGATCACATACAAGTCGCATTTAATTGGAAATGTGAACGAACTCACAAAAAAATCGTATTTCACCAAAAAATCCAAATTGAGCATTAAGTCCTGCAGTCTGAACGTAGCCAATCTGTCGGATTGTTCAGTCAGATAATACGCCGTTATCCTTATTTGTGACATAAAATGTCATGTCAGAGTCAGAATCCAAGGCTGTCAGTATGTTAAGGCTATTTTTCATGGGTTCAGTTCGTTTTTCATAAAACCCGGTCGGATAGTGAGGCTGTCGGATTGTTAAGGGTCGGATTATCAAGTCACAACTGTAAGTATATTAAAGCTACTTAAAGCGTTCAGTGGGCGTGCCGAGTAAAGCTCTATTACAAGTACAATGAAAAAAATGTGCTGAAGTATCGAAATTTAAAAACAGCTAAATGCAGGAAAAATGTCCCCTGTGTTACACCTTTATCATATTATAGCAATAGATTATAATCACTGATGCATTAATATGCAAATATCATTTTAATATAGTGGCTTGAGTGCCTAATTGTTACGTTCATTATAATTATGGATTAATGTGCTAATTATTTTCTTGATTAATTGATTGTTTAGGTTGTTAAAATTACAAAACCTTGCAATTATATAAAGCTCAACGTGACAAATGAAAAAAATAATAATAATAATAATTCTTTTGGCCAACTAATAGGCCAAACATCAAAATGATTAACATTGAAATGATTCAAATAAAAGCTGTGCATAGTTTAAATTACACAAGCAGCACCGTCGGATGACATGTAAAGTTCCATCTCTGTTCTCTGAACCCCTCAGCTGCAAACACCCAATTAAGATTCAGAGATCAGAACAATATGGTAGCTCCTCCGCTCTGTAATCACCACAGTGAGGTCTCCAACCTGTACACATTGATCCCGTATCGATCTGTGTATGAGAAACTCTGGTTTAACCCAGTTCTTCATTCTCACTCTCCACATTCACTCGATATTCTGACTGAAGGGCAGCAACTGGATGGTCAAAATCTGCCCAACACAGATAGAGACAGAGAGGGAGACAGATAAGATAAGAAAACGGAGGCAGGGTCTAGAATGATGCAGCAATAACAATAATGTTGGTAAAAAAAAAAAAAAAGAAGAAGATAATCCCCACAGCTTTACCGTACAGTATGCCTTTCTGTATTTCGCAGTTATGAGTAGGGGGTCCAGTATTATGCACTTCAATCATTCATGAAGACCTCCCTTTGCACCCTTTCTTCTCTTTGGTAGTGAGACGTGTCAAATATGCTTAGTTTGCCTTTATAGCGCGGTTTTGGCTGCTCTTGTTGTGACAGAATAAGGCTACAAGGAAATGTTTCTCCTCCATCTTAGAACATCAAAAGGTCTTTGAATTGCTTCTGTCGCCGAGAAAGATGAATGTGGTGTTGTCGTGTCTGTCAGTAAAATGTAAAACCATGTGTCAATTCTGTCAGCCTGGGAGAGGCTTTGTAACAAAATTGTTTACTCTTCCTCTTGAATAGCCTGATCAAACTTTTATTAGCGTGGATGGTGGTAAAACTACTCCGCATCAGCAAAACGCCGCAGCGGCTTACAACTGCTCGCAAACTTTTACGAGCACGGGAGAGCTTCTCCAGTGGCACAGATAATTTTCATATTTATTCAGACGCTGTTCCTTATTTAAAACCTTAATGTTTCTTTTCTGTTAAGGAACTCCGCAGAGAATCGGTAATGACAGAGTCAATTTTTCACTGCAAACGTTTGCCGCCTGCAGTATTTTCATATCCGCGGTTTTTAATCAACATGCTCAAAATGAATAGCCATGACACTCAACATGAAATGAAGAATGTATAATCTGATTCAGAAGGGGGTGGAATTTCAAAATGCAAACATTTATAAAGAAATGTCAGGCAAGTTTAACATAAGAAACATCTGAAATCACGCTGTCGACATATTGTCTCACGCAGGCCATGTTGCTTTATTTTACTCAATGTTTCCCATCACATTACCATTCAAATGACCTCTAAATAACATTTTTTTAAATGATCCTACATTTGTTTTGATTTCCAACTGCGACTCCTTCATCTTCTTGGGGCGCCATAATAGAAAACCTCACGTAGGGATATCTCACTCATTTGCAGCTTGTGTCAACAACATGCTTTCATCTGTAAGCGTGAAAAGTGTGCTGGCAGCTATTCTGCCTCATTAAGACAAACTGTCACCCCGAATGCAAGCTAATTAAGGTGTCAAAGCTGACGTTATTGTTTCATGTAGACACTTGTACACAGATACTAAGAGGATATTATTAACCCCTTTGTTGGTTACAGTATTTATTTTTGCTGTTGTGCATTCTGTCATTTAAAAAAATCAGTTTGATGTTCATATATTCATCATCATTAGGCAAACATTTATAGTATGTTTGTTTGTTTTTTGAACCTGCAAATTGGCTTTTGCACTGCATTGAATAAAGTACAAATGCTGGAAGACGGTGAAACTAACATTAGATGCAAAAATGGAAAAGAATCAAGAATTCACAGTGATGTGTAATGTTTTCAGTCAGCTCATCTCGCTGTCTTGGGATGGTAATTGTCATAGATGTTCATTTTCTTTTTGTCAAGAACTACAGAAGTGCATCTATCTCCCCACCAATCTTAATAAGATAGGATGAAATCCTGCCAACACACACCTTGAAACAGCAGAATTTGAATTTCAATATCTGAAGAAAATCTTCCTCAACTAAAGGTTGATAAATGAGGCAAAAATCTTTGTTGTAATGGGAGTTTGTATGAATAGCAGGAACGGGAGAATATTTGATCATTCCAGGATAACTGTCCTGTCAGAGCCACTAAGGACATGCAAGAAAGTTAATCTTTGCTAATGATTATACAGTCTGGAGCATTTAAGCACTTGCAGTGGTGAGAATCATCCATTCATTAGATTTCCCCAAACAACTGATGTGAGGAAAATGTAGCAGATAATGGAGGAAAATATGGCCCTTTTGTACTCACAGTGCAATTATGCAGCTACAAAAACACTTGGCTGGTTTGTCCTTCTGTAGCTGTTGGAGCTAAAATGACATAAACGACAGAGGTGGGCCTCTGCAGTTATCTTTCTGCCCCAAGTGAATCTTCATTGTCTCATATTTTCCAGGGAAATGACTGGCTTATTCACTACAAGTGATTTCTCTGCACCATTATATATACAGATGTATATATTGATGTATCATTATCACCAGGATGCCTAATTTGTGTCACCCTACAGTGTTTAATTTAATCATTAGGTTTGTGTTGCATACTTCCCACCCGTGGCAAATTTTTTAATCAAATATCGAATGCATGCATCTGTCTCAGGTTGTCTAGCTGTGGATGTTTCATTAAAACATAAACAGATTAACAGTGTCATTGTCAAAACAGCAAAGTCACATCTTTTTTTGGTGGCTTTTACAGTGTAAGATATCATTATTACTGAATTAGAAACACTGGGTGTGTATGTTGAATGTCGCACCCACAAGTTCATACATTCATCTTTATTTTATTTTATTTACTTTTGGGATTAACTGACTATTCGCTGGTTATGTGTTTTTCTATATTTGAGTTGTGTGTGAGTCTAGGTTAAAAAAAAAAAACCTACTAGACTGCGGAATGAGGTCTTAGAAAAATATGTGCTTTTAAACATTCGTATCCAGCGAGTAACCCGACTATTTCTACTCAGCGTTGCTCCGCTCTGAGATCTCACTGCCTGCAGGGTGCGATTGTGGAATTCGTCTTTGATAAACTGGGTTTCTGCAAGCTGCTACTCACCACTGTCAGTATTAATTAGGTGCTAAACCTTTAAAAGAACGTCCTTATTGCCGGTTCAATTAAAATGTACAACACAACATGTCAAGTACTAAAAATAAAAAGGAAAAAAGACTCACGTTGGTATGTTGTGGTCGTACATGCTACCGTGTGCATCGTACACAACAATAAAACCACTGAAAGGTGAATTAAATAATATTGATTCTCTTTACAATGGCATTTGTCAAGTTGTGAGATATGTTAGGCAGCAAGTGAACAGTCAGTTCTTGAAGTTGCTGTTTTTGGAAGCGGGAAAGATAGACAGTGTAAGGAGGTGAGCAGTTCTGAAAAGGGCCAAACTGGGATGTTTGTGTCAGAGCATTTCCAAAACAGCAGGTCTTGTGGGATGTTCCCAGTATGCAGTGGTTAGTACCTACCTAGTCTGACTCACCGGAAGTGGGATTCGAGTATTAACCTGCCATTGGCTGCTAGTTGCAGGTAGCTATGTCCTTCCTTTCCGCTACCTACCTTTTCTTCACTTCAGTAAACAACAACAACAACCTCCAGGCAACAACCTGAAAAATTCGAGTTTAGCAGAGGATTTAGGTAGTGCAGTAGAGCAGCCCTATAGATTTTTTTCCCTCCTTTTTATCCATTTTAATCACACTTCTTGTCTCCCTGCATGCAAATGTTCCACCAATAAATTCCACTCGTCACTATTTTTAGTCAACACCAAGGGGACAGCCTTTGCTTAGCCTCGCTCACAGCAACTCTGATTGGTTTAAAAAAATATATAATCAAGTCTGAGCATGTTTTTCTTTTCTGTGGTGCAGCCAGACCGTTGTGTACTAGTGAGACTAGTGAGAAGGAAATGTGTCTAGTTATCCTTCCTTAGACCACTTTTGGTTTATAACTAGTAAACCGTGTCAAGGTCATGGGAGCCCAAGGCTTATCAGTGTGCGTAGGGGGTGAAGGCTGGCCTGTGTTGGTCGGATCCCACATAACAGCTACTGTAGCGCAAATTGCTCACAACCAGAACACAGTGTATCACAGCCTGCCTGCTGTGTACGTGGTTGTGTAGCAGGCAGCTGGTCAGAGTGCCCCGCGCTGACCCCTGTCCACCTACCTAAACAGTGCTGCAGTCCACAAATACTTCTTCATGGCAACGGCATTCCCTGATGCCGCACAAGACTGGTTTGAGGAACATGACAAAGAGTTCAAGGTGTTGACATGGCCTTCAAATTCCTCAGATCTCAATTTGATCAAGGGGTTTCACTGAAGAAAAAATGAAAGCAAAACCGCAAAACTTACAGGAGTTAAAGGATCTGCTGCTAATTTAGTGGTTCCTGATACCACAGGCAGGGCACTTCAGAGGTCTTGTAGAGTCCAGGGGTCAGAACTGTTTCGGTGGCATGTACACAACACTAGGCAGGTAGTTTTAATGCTGTGGCAGGTTAGTGTGTGTTAACCCATTTGACAGATTTGCTATTATTAAAGTCTCCAAGATGAATAGTTTAAAGGATGATACTAAGCCACCATCCCTTCTCCCAAAGCCGCACATATGCACCCACACACACACACACACACACACACACACACACCACATGCATAATGAACTGATTAAAATAGCAACAAAGTATGTGTGGAAGAATTATACAGGAGGACAGGCTCTCACCTCATTAGGCATAATTTTGGTAGATTATAGGCTGGGAGAGTTGATGATTCTATAATGAAACTGTCAAAAAGATGTACTGCTCTCGTATACTGTATGTTGCTTTGTAGTTCACTGGACTGTAATATTTTTGCTTAATATAATCATATTACTTTTTTTTTTTTCTTCTGCTCTTAGGTCCAAAAGAAAGTAACAGAATTGGAAAGAGGACGCTGGAACCAGACAGGGACCTCTTCACACACCTACCAACACAGGACACAGAAAGTGAAGTCCACTCGGTCACCACCGTCTCACCGATGAACATCCCCAACCACCAGCCTTTCCTCAGGGGCCTGCTGCTTCACGAACACCTACTTACAAGGAACTTCCAGGGAGACCAGCATTTTTTTAGGAAGGACGGCTCTGTGGCTGGTTATCCCACCATGCCAGGCTCTGCGTCGGCTCTGAATGCAGGAGACCCTGTCACTCAGCTCGTGCCCCATGAGGACGCCCCGGCCTTTTCAGACGTTGCCACTACTGCCACTGCGGCCGCCACCTCCCCGCTGACCACATTTCCTCCCACAACACCGGCGTCGCCCATGTCCTTCCCTCACAAGAAGTCATCTAAGGAGAGGACCATTGGGGCGGACAAGTTAGAGCCAACAACGGACTCCCTCACCACTCAAGTGACACCACAAAACAGAGGTGAAGGCAACCCGGCGGGTCCCCTATCCTCACGGGACAGCCAGCGTCGAAGCTGGAGTACTTTCCCCGTAGATGCCACCCTTGCACCCTCCTCAATGAGGATGGAGAAAGGGGAAGGTAGGGAAACCGCAGTGAAAAACAAAAGCAGCCCCGATCATCTCCTACCAAAGCAAACTCCAGCTTCTCGAGAAGAAGGTACCACAACAACATCCACAAGCGTCATCACGACTACCACAATCACCACCATGCAGACATCAGGTAGGCTCCTTCCTCATACTTTCATAGATGTACTGACTTTGTGCAAGAAATAGCATCAACATCAGAAGACTTTTCCGTCAATGGAAATCCAAAATTGACTGTACCAACCCCCCTGTGATTTAACATATACATCCCAGAGGACGAGACAATTAAGCATCAGGTCATCAGCACCACTCCTGTTCATTTCGCATTCCGCACACGGCTTCTCATCTCACCACCAGGGATGACAGAGTTGCTCATGTGTCAAAAACAATCTGATTTTTCTTGATGTGTCCTGCCTGTCCTTTCCACTGGCCGCAGAGGGCTGAAGGCCCAGACGAGCAGTGTCGGAGAGGATATTTGCAGAGATAGTTAGAGGGTTACGGGGCCACGGAGACACAGGTGGGCTGTCAGAAAGATCAGTGGTCTGGGAAAAAGGGAATCACTTGTCATTTTACTGTCTCCCACAGAGCCGTGCAGTCTGAATTTCACTGACCCTGAGGGTAACATTGAAATCCTACAGCAACTTGACTCTGGAGTGGAGTGTAACTACTTGATTACTGTCTACCTGGGATACGGCATCGAGGTTCAGGTCAGTACTGATCATTCGATACTGTGCTCTCTGATTAAGTGTCTTACTGGTGAAGTTCCAAACTGCATCTTTAATCCTGCATTCACTGGCCAAGTGGGGAGAAGCTAAAACAAGACGTAAACACAACACTGAGGTTCAGCTCCTCTCAAGGAACATTAGAATAGATTTTGGGTTCTGAAAATCTAATATTTAGCTTTAGAAGAAACAATCTAAATGCTCCACTCTGTTCACCAGCTGGTTGCCGAATCTGTTTCTTTGCTATAAGTTGGGCAGGTGGTGAACAGGAGTTTACCTGAGCCTTTTTCTTTTAACTGAAAACAGCAGTCTGCATCTGGAAATGAAGCTGTCAAGAATGAAGAAACTTAACCAAAATTGTAAAGTTTCAGGCTGTTAAACCAAAACAATTAGCTGAAAAAGGCTATAAAGCTCAGTGGGGCTGGAAGGAGGTGCATAATTGTCTGTGGGTTTGCTGGAGCGACTGGAAAATCATGACTCATTGTTAATCTAAAATACTGATTGTAGCCCATTTTTCCTGAACTCTGCTCTATGATGCTTTATAAAAAAATAAAAAACTCTTCTTAAAATAACATAATGTTGCAACAAAGGGGTTTATTCAAACAGTGAAGAGTACTGACATATTTTTGGTTTAGTTTCAGCTGTAACAGTATTTGCTGGTCCTGTGTGGGTTGATAGAGATAGACAGGCAGTGAATTACTGGAATGAGTAGGTGGATGAGGGCACAAGTGACGGGGTCTGTTTCAGGTTGAATGTTTGCTTGGTAAGTCTTTTCACAAAAGGTTATAAAAATTAACTGTCAGTGTGTGTGTTCCCTGGCATTTGCAATTCCTGAAATGCCTCATTTACCACCGGAGACTTTAAAATGTGCAAGCTTTGTCTTGCTGCCTCTGGAGGGCTAAGATAAGTCTTGACGGAGTATATGTTTGAGAGTGTGCTTTTCTCTGAAAGCTTCCTCTGGGTAACTTAAGTAAATCTTGAACCTCTTATAAGCAGACGCACACTTACCTGCACATGTGCATGCATATTCTCAGACCCATTTGATCTATCAGCTCGGGCTTTTCGCAGTTTCTCCAGTGCATTTGGCAGAAAATTTCTTCGGAGACTCTAAAACTTCAAAGCTGCAAAGGGGAAAACATATAGACATTTTATACTCACACATCAACCGGGCCCTGATAAAGAAACAGGAGGCAGCCATGTGTTTCAGCAGCGCCATGTGAACAGATGGGGGCCACTGTCTCCCTCCCTCCTACAGCTAAACTGATAGTGATCTGATGGCAAACTATGTAGACAATTGCTTGGCAGGGCTGAAGAGAATGAGCAGCCAAGGTCTCTGTTCCTTGGGAACACATGAAGTGACTGAAGATGGAGAGATACAACCTGAAATCAAGCTTGTGTCATGCCTTCTCATCAGCAGTGTGTGAAGCTCTTTTTCCTGCTGGCTGTCCTGATTTCAAGGCTTAAAAGGCACACAGATAGACATGTGGAGAAGCAGGCAATGTTATGCGAACAGAACAATATTTACTTCACATTTTGATTGTTTTTACATTTGGATAATTTTTCGATCTCAACTATTTAAAGTTTATAACCTGCTCATTCATCTGCGGGTAGACACTCACACACATTCAGCTGTTGTCTCATTTGCTGCAATGCAGCTACACTTCCACCAACTTTCTCCGACTAAGAGCTAACAGTGGTCAATGAGCTGCTGCATTTCCCATTTCAGCAAGTAGGGAGTGACAGGATAAATGCGACTGCAGTCTGCTTGATAAAAAGATGGTATTTCTAACAGCAGATGCTTCACTAAGTAACATAATTTCCCCGAATCACTTCGAGAGTTCCACATTTCATCACATTTTAGGTGTAATTTTGAAGGAATTAATCCTTTAATAGTATCCACATGAGAAGAAATATATGAAATTACCTGTTATTGCAGAGAATAAATCCCTTCCACTTTTTGTGATGAGCTTATTTGTCATAATCGCACAATGATCTCTGGAGGAAAGCTGCAAAAGTCACACCTTCCCCCTGTCATACCTCTGGTGGGATTATGGATGATTTGTTGGTTTATGACCATTTTTTTTCCTCTACAGTCTGTTAGACACACACAAACCTCCCCCCCTCCCCGGATTAAAAGCTCCCAGTGTTCACTTTGATTGGCTCGGTATTGATACAATTTACTCTGCCAACCATTAATGCGGACTGAATGCTCCACACTTGAGAGTGGAGGAGCTGTAGGAACGGCTGTACGGTTGAAGTGCGTGTTCTTGTTTTGGCAGGCGGCCTTCGTTATGGAAGGCGGGGAGTCATTATAGCAGACACACGAGGAGTTTGCAAGGGTGAAGGAGGGGAATTAGATGAAGGAAACACTCTGAAGGACAGATGAGGGGACTGTTAAAAAAAAAACCTGTGTTGATGTTGTGCACCTATAGTTCAGTGAAACCCAATGCGTGCTCACAATAAACAGGCGCAGCGTCATTTCCAGGACTCAGAGACCCCTCTGAATTCTACCAGCATTCAAAAATATCACAGAGATTGGTGGGGAATAAATAAACAAGATCAGACCTTTTCTGTATTTAGTCAATACTCCTTTCAGCAGCCTGGCAGCTTGTGGGAGAGGGAGGATGAAAAATGTATCAGGAGAATTTACTGCCCTCAGCCTGACTGCTCAACCTCTCTGCCACAGCTAACAGCATATAATGTATTGCCCCATCTGGCGATTCTGACCACATTACGATTTACTCGCAGAATAATTGTACAAACATTCGGAGGCTGATATAACACAACGTTCAACACAAAGATAAACTAATAGGTGCGATAAACACTCTGAGTATTTTTTTTTTTTTAAAAAGGCACTTTAGCTGCATTTAGCGAGTATTTTATCGAATGCAAAATACGCAGCAGATTGTGTAAACCGTCAGTTGTAAGTATAAGATATAAAGTATTGATTTTTTCTGACATTTGCAGCCATTATATAAAGGTTAGCAGTGATGAATAGCTTTAAAGCCCGAGCACGTCACTATATTACAGTGAGAAGGGTTTATTTCAGGGTTCATTTCCATCATTTTCAGCGTCCCTGAAACTGCGAGTAAAGGTCTAAATATAAAATTATAAAGAATTGGCATTAGCATTCACTTAAGTTAAGGTTTTGGAGTGATTAATTACTATTAATAAAAAATAGTCATTCCGCTCATATAGTTCATGGTTATTTTATGATCATGTAAAAACTGCTGTTTCATTCATTCTCGGATCATTAATTATAATATCAGAGGTATTTACATGTTTTAGCCTCGCCGCGATGCAAATCTTGCAGTCGAACGAGTCAGCACGCCTCACCAAGTTTGTGTTTTCCACCCCGTAGAAATACAAATATGAATTGGTGATCTTATTTCTATTCTACCTCCTCGTCTTCATCACAGTCACTTTTGCAATAAGGTTTTAGAGGAGGACAGATGGAGGTTTTCCAGAGCCGGGCTGTGGCATTAAAGTGCTTAAAATCTGTTTTGAAGCTTTTTTTATTTGATCAAATAAATCCAGTGGGTTAGCTAGCTATCAGCTCTTTCCAGGCCATCTGTCCTGCTCTGATTTCTCTGTCTCCTCTGCTCACTGATCTACCTGTCTGCGTCTCAAGGAGTTCCCATTTGCACCAGGCTCTCCCGGCTCCGGTTCATCCCACACCCTGCACTCTCTCTAAAAACCCAAATGTGTTGTGTGGGACGCGCTGGTTAATACACTTCTACGGCTAGAAGCCTAGACACAGCGACATTCCCCCCCACCAGTGTCTGATTATAGTTGTGTTTCCACTTGCTGACAGGCTTAAAGCAGCATCATTCAAAAAGATGGTGGGGAGGGATTTTGAGATTAATACTGTATATTTAATTTATTTCTCTTCTCCTTCTCTTATCCAGTTCTTCACTTTTTTCCCCTTGCTTTTCCTCCCCCACTCCTCATCTCTCTCTCATTTATTCCTTTTTCTATTTGTCTCGCTCTTCAACCCTGCCTCAGTCGGTTCAAATTATTGCAGTGAACCTTGGAATAAATTAACAGAACACAGGAACAAATTAGCATGACTCTGGCTTGACTTGATATTGTAGCCTTTTCTCATTAAGGCCTTTAATTTCATTCTCGTGATTATGTCGCTTAAAACAACAAGTCGGACGTGATATTGGGATTTCAATTATACGTAAACATATCAGAGGGATGATAGATTACATAAAAATACGCCTTCCAGTTAATTCATTCAATTAAAACTAAATGTAAATGGAAGTAATTCATTGTTATTTATCGATCGGTACAGTTAGGCCTAAGCCGAGAAGTTTTCCATGCAAAACACCGCAAAACTTTTCGTCGCTGTTTGTTTCATTAATTAAAGTTTATAAATATGAAACAGAAGCTTTGAGTCTCAGCGGGGGAAATTACAGCGTCCGAGTGGTTCATCCTCATACGAGCGAATATTGTTTCAAACGAGTAAAACCCGAGAACCAAACACCTAATGAGCTCAGGGCTGAACGTGCTGAGGAATTACACCTGAGGTGAGGCTGCCGAGTAGGATCATCAATGAAATGCCCCTTTGAGGATTGAGACGTTACAGAGCATGCCAAGTGTTTATAGCTAACCCTGACTTGAGGGTTAACGATTGGTATTTGATGCTGCCTCTGCGACCATGCTCCTCTGACTCCAATCAATAGTCATGTTAATAAGCGGCACCAATACTTGACACACAGCCCCCTCTCAGTGCCGGGTGAATTGCTGTATTGATCCTCGCGCTCTTATTTTAATTCCAGTATTTCTTACAACAGAAGCAAAATGCACACGGCATTGACCGTGGCAGAGGGTGGCTGATGAGGGAGGGAATCAAATTTGCTTTTGGCTGACCACCGGGTGCTCTCATCAGATGCCACGAGAAGGTATTTCCCGCAAAAAAAAGACTGAGTCTTTGCAAAAAGTTCCTATTTTAAATGCAATGACGAATGCAATTCTTCTTT